TGAAATTTACGAAAGTGATTAAATGACACGCTAAATAAATTACATATTAATAAACTTCAGTTAACTGTGAATCGTTTACATAAAATTAGATTTAGTTTCTGTAACAATTTCAATAAATTCTAATTGTCTTAGGAATTTTAATAAATTGTAACTGTCTTAAGAATTTTAATAAATTGTAATTGTCTCAATAACTTCAATAAATTGTGATAGTCTTGATAACTTTAATAAATCGTAATTGTCTTAACAACTTTAATAAATCGTAATTGTCTTAATAATTTTGATAAATGGAAAGCAATATTAACAACAATTGAGAAGTGCTTCGTCCACTCGTGTTTGCAAGAAGTCATCGCATCAGCAGTCTACCTATAAGGATACCTTACAATGGTGGCCAGTTATAAAGTTGGTGGGAAATGAATGACCGATGAATCAGCGCAGTTGGGTTTCATGTCTTGCAACAAATAATTTATGTATGTCAATCAAAATAATCCCTACCGCAAATTACACACTTTCTCCTATTGAATTACAAGATTACTTGCATCGATTTTGTTTAAATACTCGAGTCCTGCGGATTAACATAATATCTTTAAAGACTTCCGCAACCGTGGGCTTAAAACGTGAGAAAGCCGATACTCTGCTGTCGTGTTTTAAGCGCTTTTTACGAGGCTAATATTTACCAACTGCTACGCATTTGTTTGCTCATTTTATTGAGCTACAAGAGCGTAGTAAACAACATCGATAAGATCTAACCTAACTCTTCCGAAATATGACAACTATTTCGAATTTATTAATTCATATTAGTAATAATAATAATAATAATAATAATAATACGCATTTATTACATATTTATCGTTATTCTACAGATTTTGTAAGTACAGCTGAATTATTTTTAACGTACAAAAATCGCTACGAGCAGAAATAAATATATCTATAAATAAATCTATGTTTAACTCATCGTTAATACGAACTAACAACGAACTAAGCAAGCTTCATCTTTTATTTCAAGTAAAGATGTAGCGACATTTCGTCATAAAATAGCTAAGATGTGTCGCTTTTTAGTTTAATACGCCAAAAATAGCAATTTGAGAAAATCAGTCTTCTCTGCTCTCTAGCGACGATTGTTCTCGAAATTTTCGAGCGATCTTAAGTACATGGTCGCCATTGTACGTTCAAACTGGCAAGTTTTCTCACGATCTATCGCACGAGGCAATGGTATTTCGAAATGGGAACGCGATACCTATTGACTCGACGATTATGAATCAAAGCCGGTAAGGAGAAACGAGACTGCACGCGATGGATTGAGAAATTCGATCAACACGAAATTTCTCATTAATTCTATACACGTTGCAAAAATTATCAGTTGGAATTAGCGAAAAACCGCGAAACTATTAAGATAACTGTACAGCGTTCGGTGAACCTGCTGATCGCCTATGACGAGTATACTCGTCGTTTGTATTCGACGAAATATAAAATATATTTATTTCTAAAAATAAATATAATAATCTTTCATACGAATTATATTTATTAATTTTATTTAATTTCATAAAATTCAAAATTTTATACGCTTGAACAATAAAATATTTTATTTTGATTTTCATATCAAATAGCATAATTATATATAAATTAGTTATACATGAAATTATTTAATTGTAAATCTCTATTTGAAAAACTAAGCTTTATTGTTCTACTCTCGACTTGCTCAATGGTAATTTTTTTTAAGAGAACCATTTATTATATGAATCCTTCTAGAAATTTCGTCAATAACTTTTTCTATTATACTTAACTATAATTATTTTTAAAAAAGCT